CCAAGGAGCAGCCGGCACGCAGCGAGGTGCAGGCCGAGGCGGGGACCAGCGCCACGCTGAGCTGCGAGGTGGCCCAGGCAAAGACGGAGGTGACGTGGTACAAGGACGGGAAGAAGCTGGGTGCGAGCTCCAGGATGCGTGTGGAGGCCAAGGGCTGCAGGCGGCAGCTGGTGGTGCAGCAGGCGGGCGAGGCTGACGCTGGAGAGTACAGCTGTGAGGCCGGGGGCCAGAAGATTTCCTTCCTTCTGGGTGTCACAGGTCAGCTGATAACAGACCTGTTTTGTGTAGAGGGCCAGGCCAGTGTTTCTGGGTTAGTGGGGGTTTCGTCTGGCTTAGGGGTCCTTGTCCACTTGGTCCTCATGGAGGGCCTGCGCATCCTGCAGAGCTGGGCTGGATTACACTCAAGGTCCTTGAGAGCCCCGTGGGCCACCCCTCACCCACCACCTGTACCACTGAGGTGGGAGCCAGCTCGGTCGCCCAGTAGTACCTGTGGGGAAGGCGGCTGTAGAGACCAGGTCCACTGTCAGCGTGGGGCGCTGGCTGGCCTCCCTCTGGATCTCAGTCTCCTGTCCCGTGGGGTGAGTCTTAGTGACACCTGGTTTCTGGGATGGTGACTCCCACGAAGAGCCTGGGCTTATGTGCTCGAGTCCCAAGCTCAAAAGGGAGCTAGGCCAAGAAGCATAGCTCTCAGGAGAACGCAGTGTCCTCTGTTTGGGGCCCAGCATGGGACAGCAGGGGCAGCAGTGAGGGTGAGCTACAGGAAGTGGACAGAGGGGGCTGTGGGTTTTCTGGGGAATGGGCTTGTGGTTGAATGCAGGTGTGCCTCATGTGTGCCCTTCTCTTCGTTTGCTTTCTCTGGCTCTAACACCACCCCTGAGGCCTGGTACTTTATGAAGTGATGAGGGTTATTTGATTCACAATTAGGGGTTGGAGTGCCAAGACAGTACGCCACTGGCCAAGAAATGTGGCAGTTACCAGTCAGGCTGGAAGGGGCAGGTCTCCTGGGCGGCCCTGCTCTCAGAAAGGCACAGCTCCATGAGTACAGCGTCTGTCCTTTTTGAGCCCAAGGACCTGCCTCCTCTCCCTGGCCACATTTGAAAGGTGTCACCACCTCCTAACTCAACCGTACTGGGGACCAAGCCTTGGCCTGCAAGCTTTGGGGACTGCTTAGCCCGTGAAGCTGCTGCCTCCCTGTTCTGAGGAGCTTGGTGTGGACTCAAGCTGTGGGTTTTTGAGGGCAGTTAGTGCATTGCTTGCACAGAATTTACCCTGTGAGTGTGCAGCTGGCTGATATTAGGCTTATGTGGCCACACCAAAGTCTAATTCAGGAACGTTTTCACTGACCCACAAATATACCGCTTGTCCACCTTGTAGTCAGGCCTCATCCCCACTCTAGCCGGCACCACCCACTGCCTTCTCTGTCTGGATTCATGTGTCCTGGGCATTCATTCAACTTGTTTCCTTGGGTCTGGCTTTATTCCTCTGCATATTTTGCTTTGTAAGGGTTGCCGGGGCTGCCACAAGGATGTGTGGATGGCCCTTTGCGCTCTGCTGTCCCTGCTAGTTCACTGTGAATGGTCCTGCTCTTTGGCTGTGCTGAATAACACTATTGCAGACATTTGTCTGCAGGTGGCTTAGGGTCTCTTGGGTACTGACTCAAGGTGCAGGAGCCTGGGAGATTCTGTGTTCACCCTGCCGAGGGTCTGCCACAGTCTTGCCAAGTTCCTGTGAGCTGCGTACGAGGGTCCCAGCTTGTTGTCTGCCTGTATTGTGGCTGTCCTGATACGAGAGATGTTCTAGTGTCCATTGTGGTTTTGATTGACATTTCTCTAGTGACTAATGATGGGTATCTTTTTATGTGCTTATTGGCAATATATATGTATTTTTTTAAAAAAGAAATGTCTATTTAACTCCTTTAATAATGAGGTTGTCTTTTACCGTTAAGTTGTAAGAGTTGTTTGAAATACTTGCTGCTGCTGGGCCTTCATCAGATATATCATTTACAATTATTTTCTCCTATTTTTCTGACTGTGTCCTTTCATGCACACACTTTTTAAGTTCTCTGGGGCCCCATTTCTCCTCTTTCCCTGGTTGTGAGAAACATCCTACGAAGCCACTGCAATCCGAGGTCATGAGGTTCACACTCAGAGTTCCTGCTGCTTGTGCTACAGCTGGAGCCATCGTGGCTGGGTGTTTTGCTCACCTTCAGTTGACTTTAGTGTGTGGTCTGGATGCTGGTCCAGCAACATTTGAAACACATTTTTTTCTGCATTAGTTTTCTTGGTACCATGAAGAGAGGGGCTTATTTCTATATTCTCCATCCTGTTCTGTAAGTTGCTGCATCTGTCCTGTGCCAGTGCCAAACAGTCTTGACCTGCGTCTGTGAGCTTTTGCTCTTGGTGAGTGTGCCCTCTCTTCATGTATCGGAGGCCAGGCGTGGTGTTTCTGCATCTGTGCTGCGCCCCATGGGAGCCGTCACCCTCCACGTGCTTCCCCTCTTCCCACCAGCAGGGGTTGCCGCTTGGCATTCGTTCCGCTCTGAGCTGCAGCTGTGAGAGCGCATGTGCCTACGTGTGTGTGTGCGTGTGTGTGTGTGTGTGTGTGGCTCGTTTCACTTGACCTGGGTCTGCTGCGCACGGCAGTTTCTTCTTTGAGGCTGAAGGCTGCCCCATCAGCACCACAGATTCTTCAAGCGTCTGTCTGGTGGCAGCACCCAGGCCAGTCTGTGTCTTCCCTGTGGTGGACGTGGTACGCAGGTGTCTCTCCTGTGCTGGTTGTGTTCCCTTCAATGTGAGCCCAGGAGTGATGGTGGAATCAGACTGTGACTCTGATTTCAGTTTTCCAGGGAACTCACATGCTGGTTTCCATAGCAGCCATGCTGACTTACATTCTACCATCAGTGTGTGTGGTTTCTGTTTTTCTAATAACAGCCAATTCAACTGGGTATGAGATGGTATCTCACTGTAATTTTCATTTGTATTTCCCTGATGGGTAATGATGCTGAAACATCTTTCCATATATTTATTGGCCATTTGTAATTTCCTTTGAGAAGTGTTTAGTCAGCTTGTTTGCCCATCTTTAAATTGAATTTTTTTAAAAAAGGTTTTTTAGTTCTTTACCTATTCCTGATATCAAGCATCTGTCATACAAACAGCTGGCATAGATTTTCTTCCATTCTGTAGGTTGTATTTTCACTCTGTTCTTTCCTTTGTGGTTCAAAAACTTTTGTCTATTTTGTTTCCTGTGCTTTTAGGGGTCGTATGCAAAAAATCATTGCCTTTTCCAATTTTTTTTTTTGGTGGCTTTGGGAATTGAGCCCAGGGTATTTACACCAAGCTACCTCCCCAGTCCTTTTACTATTTTTTTTTAAATGATGATAAAGGTCTCCCTAAGTTGCCTGGGTTGGTCTTGAATTTGCAAGCCTCCTGCCTCTCACAGTGCTAAGATGACAGGTGTGCACCATGATGCCCATTTTAAGCAAAGTCTTGAAGTGTTTCCTGTATGTTCCCTTCCAGTAGTTCCAGAGTTTCAAGGCTTAACTTACAGTCTTCTCTTCAGTTAGAGTTGATTGTTTTTTAATGGGGTGAAAGATAAGGGTCAAGTTTTATTGATTAGCTTTACAGTAAGTTTTAAAATTGAACAGTGTGTCCTTTAATTTTGTTGTTTTCTTTTGTAAAGATTGTCTTGGCTTTGGCTGGGGATTTAGCTCTGCTAAATCTGCTGCCTGCCACACAAAATCAGAGTGCTGAGTTTGATGCCTGGCGCCCCCCCACCCCACCAAAAGACTGTCTTGATTATTCAGGATCTCTTGACTTTCCACATTAATTTAGGATCACACTTTTTTTTTGGGATAGGGTTTGCTTTGAATAAGTAGATTAACTTGATGTGATTTGCATTTTTAAAAAGAATCTTTTCAGGAGTGAATATGGGATTCCTGTCCATTTATGTAGCTCTTTTAAAATTTTTAAATAGTATTTTTAGTGTATAGGACTTGCACTAACTAATTTTGTAAACTTATTCCAAATAAGTATTTTATTTTTTACATCACTGTACCTAGAATTATTTCCTTAATTTCACTTTTGATTGTTTACTTATAATTATTACAGAAATTGAATTGATGTTTGTATATTCTTGTATCGTGCAACCTTGCTGAACTTGTTTATTTATCTTGTAGTTCTTTTGTCAATTCCTGAAGTTTTTCTACATGAGGCCGTATTATCTGCAAATAGAGATAATTTTACTTCAATTCTGATGCAGATGTCCTTTGCTTATTTTTTATTACTGATTTGACTGTGTTTCTTAATATAAATCTCTTCAGATTTTCTGTTTCTCCTGAAGTTAAGTTTTGGTGTTTTTATTCCTTAGAGTTTTTCCATGTTGTCTATCTTATCTTATTTGATGACATACAGTTGTTTTTAGTCTTCTCTTACAATCATTTTCATTTTTGTAAAATCTGAATTGATATCCCCCCTTTCTGCTTTTAATAATTTGATCTGTCACTTGTCTTGACTGTTCTAGCTAGTCACTTTTGTTAGTCCTTTTGAAGAGCTGTCTTTGGTTTCCTGTGTCTTTCATCCCTGCCCTTGTCTTTTGGTTTGGTTGTTTTTAAATTAATTAATTTTATTGGTACATTTAAGGTATATAATGCAATGATATACATCACTGGAAATTTGCATGTTTACATAATCCATCTTGGTTCTTATTTTTTCCCCATTCCCCTGGCCTCCCTTTAAAGTCTTTGTAGATAGGCAGGGCTGGAGGGCCTGCCTTGGTCTTCATTCTCCCCTTTTTTCTAACTCTGTGTTTATTTTGTTTGTTTTCTCAGAGTTCCTTAAAATGTAAATTTAGGTTATTTTCTTGGGAACTTTCTTCTTTTACAGCACAGGCCTTCACAGCAAATTTCCTTCAGAGAATTACTTGTGGGCATCTCGTAAATCTTACTATGTTATTTTTATTTCCATTCTCTTTTTTTTTTTTTTTTTTGGTACTGGGGATTGAACTCAGGACCTTATGCTTGCAAAGCAGGTTCAGCACCACTGAACTAAATCCTTGGCACATTTCCATTCATTTTAAAGGTGTTCTCTTTTTTTCTTTTTCTTTTTTTAGAAAGAGTCACTTTATATAGTTCAGGCCAATCTTGAACTCACTGTGTTGTCCAGGCTGGCCTTGAACTCATGGTGATCCTCCTGCCTCAACCCCCTGAGTGCTAGGATCACAGGTGTATCCCACTACACTTGGCTTTACAATATATTCTAATTTTCTTTTTAATTTTTTTTTAAGAATATGCCATTTAATCCCATATGTTTGTGAATTTTCCATCTGTTGTTTTTGAGCTTCATTCTCTTATGGTCACAGACCATATTTCACCTGATCCTTGTCCTTTTAGATGTGTTGACCTTTGATTCATGTACCTGGTATGTTCTGCCTGGATATGTTCTATGCATACATGAGGAGGAGAATGTGTCCTGTGTATGATGGGATATTCTGCCTGAGTCAGTTACATTTGGTTGCTGAAGTATTGATCTTTTCCATAGTTATTGCACTCATTAGTGGAGTGGGCATGAAGTCTTCAAGAAGTATAGCAGAGGCTGTTTCTTCTTTTAATACACCCCATGTATTTTGAGACTCCATGTGAGGTGTGTATATGTTTATGTCTTCTGGAGGGCTTATGTCACTGAGGTGCAGTGTCTTGTGTTTCTTCTGTGGCCTTGTCTGAAGGTCTGTTTGGCCTGGCTTTCACAGGCCTTCCCAGAGCTTTTTAGTTGCTGTTTTCATGGACTACTCTTTCAGCATCAGCCCATTTGGGTCTTTGAATCAGAAATGAATCTGCTGTAGACAGCCGGGCCATGTTCTTTTTTTTCTGGTACCAGGGATTGAACTGGGGACCTTGTACTTGTGAGGAAGGGGCAGCACCACTGAGATAAATCCCCAGCCCTTGGACCACGTTATTTTAAACCCACTTTTTTCAATTGGAGAGTTGGTCTTTGCGGATGCAGCAGTCCTGGCCGGAAGGGGCACTATGGCATTTTGCTGTTTGTTTCTGTGTCTTTTATGTTCTTCATTTCTTCCATGGTGCTTCTCAGCCATCTATTGATTTTTTTAATGCAGCATTTTTACTTTCTTCTCATTTCTGCATGTTTGGTTTTTTCTTTGTGGTTGTCCTGGTGTTGGAATTTATACCTTTATGAGCAATGGTTGGAGTTCATTTCAGTGTTGTTCCAGGACTCTGCCCCTAGATGTGCTGCCCTGCCCTGTTTTACCCTGTGATCATCATGGTTATGTCTTATTCTCTGTCTGCCTTGATGGTCTTGAATGTGGTTTGTCCCATGACATAAGTGTGGTTCTCCATGTGGCTTTTGAGCTGGGGCCTGGGGGCAGGTGATGGTTAGGTTGGTGGTCTGTGCTTTTCTCTTTCCCCCTTACTGGGGATTGAACCCAGGGCCATTGCACTGAGATACATCTCCAGCCCTTTAGGATTGTTTTATTTTGAGACAGGCTCTAGCTAAATTGCTAGCTAACTCAGGCCTCAACTTTTGATCCTCTGACCTTAGCCTCCCAGACTGCTGGGATTACAGACATGGCCATCAGCTTCCTGCTGGTCTTAGATTGAGTTCTTGAGGGAGTGAGTTGTGATGAAGTGAGCCAACCTGCTACTCCCAGCCCTTTGACTTCCTGCCTCACATATGTTCGCACTGTGCATACTCAGCTGCCCATAGGGCTGCAGCTGGGCCCTCTCCAGGGGCTGAGCAGAGGACAGCCTGACCTTGGGCTCTAGCCCCTTAATGGAGGTCTGAGTAAGGCTTCTTTCTGATGGAGTGCCTCTCTCGGGTATGTGTTAGGGAGACACCTGGAGTTGGAGGGATGTTGAAAGGCAGGTGCTTATTGTCAGCAGCCGTCCTGGAATGGCGTGCCTCTGCCTCTGGGTAAGGGACACAGAAGCACAGGAAGGATGGACATAGATATGGGAGGCAGGGCAGGGTGACAGGTAGGGCTCTTCCTGCCTTGGGGATGGAAGGAGGTGACAGGCTGGGGGGTGAGTAGTGGCCAGGCCAGCACAGAGCACAGATGGAGGCCACATCACATGGGTGATGGACAGGAGCAGGGCCAACGTGGGCAGGTGGAGGGCAGTTCTGTCTTGGTGAACCAGGAGCAGGAATTACCCAGAGGATGATGGGGAGTGGCCTGGGCCATTCCAGGTGACGGGACTGACGTGTGCCTTAGGGGACGGGCCATGGAGAGCTGCTGCCCCTCACAGGTGGCCAGTGTGTATGACCTGAGGACAAGTATAGCAGCACGGCTGCAGGAAGGCAGAGAATGCGGTTTACAGAGTGGATGGCGGGGCTGGGTCGAGCCATGGGACTAGGGTGATGTGTGGACCACAGCCAGCCGGTGAGCTATGACCATACAACAGGACTAATGCTGGGATTATCAGTATTCTCAGAGCGAGAAGTTAACCAGTGGGTGTGAAAGATTCCCTGACAGGGCCACACTCCACAGTATGGACAGATCAGCAGCAGGGAGAGGAACTCACAGTAAAAGATGTACCAGGCTGGGGCATAGCTTGGTGGGAGCAGCTGGCTTCAGTTCCTTCTTCCACACATCCCAAAACAAAACAGAAAGAAAAGACAAGAAATCCCACTAGACAAATAGTGAATTTCAGAGGTCTAGATGCCAAGAGGTAAAAACTACCAGAGAGACAGAGGTCAGGAGATGGCCTTGTTCCACAGATGTGTTCCCAGCAATAGGAGTGAGGTCATGAAGGCACCGTATACAAAGTACCCAGGGCAAGAAGAATAGGTCTTGTCAGAGCGTGAGACTCTAGAGAAGTTCTGAGGACTCATGTCCAGAGGATCTGTGGTACACGGAAGCTGGCTGAAAGAATTAGCAGCAGCTGAGCTGCAGAGGCGCCTTAATCCAGAGTGACAGATGGACCTGGAGGACCAGGATTTGGTGGTCAAGACTGGGCGCTTGGACTATCTCTGACCCTGTGTCCTTTGTCCATCCACAGAGGCCCAGGTGGTGTTCGCCAAGGAGCAGCCGGCACGCAGCGAGGTGCAGGCCGAGGCGGGGACCAGCGCCACGCTGAGCTGCGAGGTGGCCCAGGCAAAGACGGAGGTGACGTGGTACAAGGACGGGAAGAAGCTGGGCGCGAGCTCCAGGGTGCGTGTGGAGGCCAAGGGCTGCAGGCGACAGCTGGTGGTGCAGCAGGCGGGCGACGCGGATGCCGGGGAGTACAGCTGTGAGGCTGGGGGCCAGAAGGTCTCCTTCCATCTGGATGTCACAGGTCAGTTTGTCATGGGCAGGTGAGAAGGAATTGGCTGACTGGCCAGGAAAGGTGTGCACAGAAAGTCGTTCCCTCAGCCTCAGGTACTGTTCCTTATAGTGACACACGGTCACATGGCCCCAGCACTCGTCCATGACTTTCTGAATGTCCCTGGGTCCAGGATTCTGGCTTTGGCAGTGTAGTCTGCCAGTGCTCCTCACTTGGCTATGTGAATGTTTGCTGTTGGATGTTCTTTAGCTTTGAAATTCCCTCACCCTATGCCATACACTGCTTGAGTTTCACTTGACTGGGATGGGATTTGCAGCTGCCAGGCAAGTGGATCAGGCCTGACAGCATTAGGTGTTTGGAACCCTTCCCTCTTTCACACACACACACACACACACACACACACACACACACACACACGCATATCACTGTGCACCCATGTGCAAGAGAGGCTGGATCTAGTTCCTGTGCAGTGACAGGAGCTATATCCCATGAGACTGGAAAGTAGCTTTTCAAGTAGAGCATCATTTTCTTCTGTCTTGGAACATTTTGCATCAGAAGTTTGCTCTGTGAATTTATCCCTGGGCAGGAGTTGGTGGCTTGTGCTGCCTCCTAAGCCTTGGTGAAGCTGGCTACTGGGGGCAGCAATTGGAAATACTCATTTCCTTCCTAGCCTTCACTTCCCAGAGTTGTTTGTGTCTGTGCCTTCCTGGTTGCTTTCACAGCGATGTCTGAAATCACAGAGAGGTTGCATCAGCCTGTTCCTCACTGCTGCAGCAAAGTACCTGAAGCTAGGAACTTAATGAAGAAGGGGTTTGTTGAGCTCACAGCATTAGAGCTGGAAGCCCAGGGTGCTTGTCCATCTGTGATGGGGCCCCCTGGGCTGTGTCCCAGCGTGGTGCACATTGTACCAGGACAAGCACAAGTAAGAGGAGGATGCAGAGGCAGAGACCCACGAGGGAGGCTGGGCTTGCCCTTCTGTTATAGCCCTCTCAAGGAAGCTGGCCTGGTCCCACAAGACTCCAAAGACCTGGCCCACCCCTAGCAGGCTGCAGGGTTTCTCATTGACGTGTAGTAATTGTGCACACTTAGGGTGCAGTGTGGCCATTCAGCTGGTACATACTGTTTGTAGCAATCAGATCAGGGCACTCTGAGGACATTCAGAATCCCCTCCACTGTCATCATGAAATAGTCCTGGACTCCTGTCAGCTGTGCGCCCACCATGCCATCCACTGTGAGAAGCTGTCTCTCCCTCCTGGAGACCCCACCTCATCACATCACTCACTGGGACCCATCGCTTGCAGGGAGCCCTGGGAACAAATTACATTCAGAACCCAGCCAGAGTTTTTACAGCAGAGCGGCCAAGGCTGGGATCCAAGCCTGACTTGGTACCACAAAGAACATGCCTTGTCCGCGAGCTGGGGCAAAAGCCCAGGGTACACTTCTGTTGACTGCTCACCTCTGGCACAGTGTGTTAATTTTATGCACGTGTGCAAGTTGACATTGTCAGCCAGTGTGATTGCTGCCTCCAACTCTTCCTGTCTGTGTTGGAAACATTCAGATCCTTTCTTCTACTGTGCAGAGACACTCAGTGAAATGCTACTCTCCAGGTCACCCAGCTGGCCACCAAATACACTGACCCCACTCCCAGCCCCCAACAAATTCGATGCATGTGGCGATTCACTAGGAGATACCAAAAAGACCATGAAAAGGAAGAGAGTGGACCCTGTGAGTCCCTAAGCAGTGACGTCCAGGTCTCTCTGGGGAAGACACTGAACTCTTCAGCCACAGCTTCACATTCTGTGGGTCCAGCTATCCTGTCAGCCACTGTCCAAAACATTAGATGGGAAACTGAGGCCATAAACAGGTCCTCTGCAAGATATGGCACCCCCACTGTGCCTGGGTATCTGTGTCGGGCGAGCTTCTCGCTCGTCTGGGACTGGACAGGTGGTTTTGGTATCACAGTGTTTGGCTTCAAGTAACCATTTCTCTACTGAAGAAGAGCCTCACAGCACACAATTTGTGACAGTATTTTTCATAATTATGCCATGTGTTTGTTTTCAGTGGTGCTGGGTTTGAAACCTCAGACCTCACACATGCTATGCAAATGCCCTCTCTACCACTGATGACACCTGCAGTCCTTACTATGTTTTTATTTGAGGACAAGGTTTTGCTGGGTTGCCCAGGTTGGCCTTGAACTTGTAACCCACGTGCTCAGGCTCCCTCATTCTGGGATGTAGGGTGTGGCATTGTTGGTTAGTGTTGTTCATCTCCCACCATGCCTAATTTGTGAGATGAGCTTTATCTCAGGTCTCTGTGTTCAGGGAGCAGCACATATGGGGTTTGGTATGATCCCTGGTTTTGTCATCCACTGTGGGCCTCAGGATGAACTCTGTCCAGATAAGGTCGGAGTCCTTGTGCTTACACTTTGAGGGCATTTCCAGGGCCACACCTTCCCTGCCCAGCCTTCCTCCCCCAGGTGGTGTCACTGACCCGGTGTCCCCTGTCTGTCTCCAGAACCCAAGGCCGTGTTCGCCAAGGAGCAGCCGGCACGCAGTGAGGTGCAGGCCGAGGCGGGGACCAGCGCCACGCTGAGCTGCGAGGTGGCCCAGGCAAAGACGGAGGTGACGTGGTACAAGGACGGGAAGAAGCTGGGTGCGAGCTCCAGGGTGCGTGTGGAGGCCAAGGGCTGCAGGCGACAGCTGGTGTTGCAGGAGGTGGGCAAGGCGGATGCCGGGGAGTACAGCTGTGAGGCTGGAGGCCAGAAGGTCTCCTTCCGCCTGGAAGTGAAAGGTCAGTCCTTGGGGAAACTGGCTTGGCCTGGGTGGGTTTGTTGTGGGCCTGGCTCGTGTCCTGACAGACCTGTGCCCTTGCTTCCGTCCCCCTCTTCGTTTCCTGTCCTTCAGTCCCTCTGTGGCTATTCCGGGGGGGCCTCAGGGCAGAGGAGCCTGGGGTAGAGGGATTGTTCTAGTGAACCCTGGATGGTGTGTTCACAGATGACCCTCAGCCATGGGTTCCTAGCACCTTCCCAGAGCCTCTGGGGTTTCTTGGTATCTGGGCTCTGGCTCCCCAGATGCTGGGATGTGGAACTGCCAGGTGTCTCCCCTGAGAACCTGGGGGTGAGGGAATGACCACTGTTGGTGGTACCACACATCCTCACCCAGTACCTGCCAGCTCTGACCTCAGTTTCATGGAACCTGAGTTTGGGGGATGCTTGGCTGCACTGCCAGCCTTGCTAGTGATCAGAGTGAATCACATGGTAGAGCTTAGGTTTCCAACACAGATCCCACCCCTTCCATGGACCTGGAAGCTTTTGCTTAGCTAGTGGTGGCAGAACCTGGGCCTCATGTGCAGTGACACCTGCTAAGGGATGTGGCTGGGGTGTAGGCGGGTGCTGCCCGTGGTCCTTTTGTCTTTAGTGCAGGGTTCAGGAGATGGGGCAGCTCCTGCCTCATCCATGGGCCTTGTGAACAGTGGCAGTGCTGGCTGCTGTGGCTGGGCTTCTTCCTGGCCTCTTCTCAGTGCTGGTTGTGTCTTTGTGCGTGGAAGGAAGGGCTTGCATGCAGGTGAATGGGTGCTATCCTATGGTGCCAACCTGTGTGCGGAGATCCCTGAAATCCCACTGTGTTTTTTTGGGTAATGTTTGTTTGTTTACTTATTTATTTACTGTGGTATTGGTGATTGAACTCAGGGTCTTCACACTGAGTTATGTCCCCAGACCTTTTCATTTATTTTTATTAGTGCTGCTATTAAAGGTGAGGCCACCACATTTGGCTATGAAATATTCTTTTTTGCTTTTGGTGTATCATTCTTTTATTTTTTTCCTTGTCATTGAGTTTATTGGTACATTTTAGTTGTACAGTGCAGTTACATTCATCATTGGGATCTTGTACCTTTGCACGACAAGTCTTGGTTCTCATTTTTTCTCCTTACCCCTACCCTCTCTTTACCCCGCTTCCCTATTTACAAATACTTTGTTTCCAGTTTTTCATTTTCTCATATTTTTCCTTTCCCCTACCCTTCCCACTTCCCCTACACCTTTAGCCCTTTTCCTCCTATTTCACTTGTCAATTCTACCATTCGGATCTTATGTACATGTGAAATATTCTTTTAAGAGAATATGAGAAAAATTTTGTGGTCATAAGTTTGACTAGTGTGACAGTTTGGCTAATCCCTAGTAAAATGTATGAATACTGACATAGAATGATGTAGAGGACTCTGATCGTCCTATTACTTTTAAATAAGTTGAATCACCCATTAAATGTTCTAGGCCCAGCCATTTATTGTAAATTCTGAAATATGACTGAAAACAATGATTCTGTGTTCATGGGGATTATTCTAGAGAATGGAAAAGAAGATGTAGTCCACTAAGTCATTTTATGTTGATGACAGAATATCAACATAAAACTATGACAAAGGAAAGTAGGAAGAACTAAAGCATAGACCAAGCTGTCATGAGCATCAAAGACAAAGGCATAGTCCTGCAGGATTCTGGAAGGCCACTCTGTGACAGAGTCATCATCTAGGTGCAAGGCAGCCTTGTGCAGAAGCCTCGCTCCAGTTTAATGCTTTGGCGGAGCAAGTTGGATGGGAAGTGTGGTAATTTCCTTACTATGCAGGATGCAAGTGCTGGGTGAATTTAACATGCCAAGGCCAGAAGTCCTGAGGGGCAGAACCTTGCATCAGTTTCTGCTATGTGTGGAGCTGTTCTTCCTCTACCCCATGGCAGTGCTGCCCCAAAGGACCACACTGGACCCTGGGCGTCTGACACAGGGCAGGAGGCATGAAGGCCACGGTAATCACATCTGCCAACATTGCACAGTGGGACAAAGGGAAAAGGGAAAAGACAGCAGAGAACTTCATGATATGAAGTGGAAGGCGTTGATTATGTGATGATGAGTTCAGAAAGCCCCAGAGAGAAGACACTTAGATCCAGTAACCTTGTGAGAAAGATTATCATGTAACAACTGAACGGCAGCAAAAACTTCTGTGTCTATACACAGCAGCCAGCTGTTGCGAAAGGAAATACTATTTTGTTATTATTTTTAATGCATTTTATTTTATCTTACCCCATACCCCCCTCAATTCCCCTTTGGGAAAGGAAATTTTAAAAGCCACATTAGCCTCAGAAATACACACACACATATGAATGATTTGTCTATTTCTAGTTCTAAGTCTAATAAAATCTGTAAAGCCTGTGTGGAGATTGTTTTGTGTTTTTGAAAGACAGGGTTATGAATATAAATGGATGGAAATTAATGAAAAAATCAATGATGTTCTTTCATCCAAATGCAAACAGATGGGTAGTTCTGAGGCAGGGTCAGGGAAGAGGGAGGGAGAGAAATGACAGGCAGGTTCCCAAAGCCTCGCTGGTTGGACCGCAGCTTGGTCAGAGAAGCTGAAGGGTGTGTGACGTCAGGAGAGGGCACCAGACTGCGGAGCTGCAGGTCTCCTAGGTGCAGTGATGGAGACTCAGGTTCTCACCCTGCTCAGAGACTCTGTCCTGTTTTTTAGAACAGCCCTGCAAAGCCATTTCAGGCTGTGTGGACAAACTGTGCAGTGCATGCTGGGGGGCAATGGGGCTTCTCTGGGGCCACAGATGGGGCAAAGCCCACAGATTTTGTCCTTCAGTTGCTCACCTGGCATACCTTCCCCATGGCCTCCTAGCCTAAGATGTCTCTGACCTTGTGTCCCTCATCTGTCCCCAGAGTCCAAGGCAGTGTTTGCCAAGGAGCAGCCGACGAGCAGTGAGGTGCAGGCCGAGCGGGGGACCAGCGCCATGCTGAGCTGTGAGGTAGCTCAGGCAAAGACTGAGGTGACGTGGTACAAGGATGGGAAGATGCTGGAAGCGAGCTCCAGGGTGCGCGTGGAGGCCAAGGGCTGCAGGCGGCAGCTGGTGGTGCTGCAAGCAGGCGAGGCTGACGCCGGGGAGTACAGCTGTGAGGCCGGGGGCCAGAAGGTCTCTTTCTGCCTGTGTGTAACAGGTGAGTCCTTTGGTGGTGGGGCCGACACCCGTGTAGGTGACAGAGTCACTGCATTTGCACCCTGGTGCGAGGCCGGGGGCCAGAAGGTCTCTTTCCGCCTGTGTGTAACAGGTGAGTCCTTTGGTGGTGGGGCCGACACCCGTGTAGGTGACAGAGCCACTGCATTTGCACCCTGGTGCCCCTCGCCCAGTTGCAACACTCTTGTTGCATGACTGGTGTTGAGCAGTCAGTATTGCTGGCACATGATGAAAAGCACGTGGCTGCTGTGCCAGAGCCCTGGTGCCTGCACACCTCCCGGGACAGGAGGGTGGCCTGGTGGGTATAGAGTCCAGGCATATGGCAGGCAGCGTCTGCAGACTGACCCCCTGTCCTGCCCATGCCCGTGTTTCCTGTCACCCTCCAGCTCCATCAGGGCCCAGCCGAACCTGACACTGGGGTTTCTATGTTCTGAGCTCTCTGATATGTGTCCCTCCTGTCTACTGCCAGAGCCTAAGGCCGTGTTCGCCAAGGAGCAGCCGGCACGCAGCGAGGTGCAGGCCGAGGAGGGGACCAGCGCCACGCTGAGCTGCGAGGTGGCCCAGGCAAAGACGGAGGTGACGTGGTACAAGGACGGGAAGAAGCTGGGTGCGAGCTCCAGGATGCGTGTGGAGGCCAAGGGCTGCAGGCGGCAGCTGGTGGTGCAGCAGGTGGGCGAGGCCGACGCTGGGGAGTACAGCTGTGAGGCCGGGGGCCAAAAGGTCTCCTTCCACCTGGATGTCACAGGTCAGTCCTTCCAGTGCTTCATTAATGATTGGAGGTGATGTGATTCTGGCTGGTGACCCGGTGATCTTAGTGTCTCTTCTTTTCTCTGATGTCATTTTCCTGCCTGTGGCTTGCCCCAGGGAGGCTGTTGCTGCAGCGTGGTGTGTTCCTACAACCTCGGGCCAGTCATACCTCCTAGCACTTGACTGGAACCCTTCCAGATGTTCTTTAGAGACCTGGACCCTGCCTTATCTGACCCTGTGGCTTGTGGTAGACTAGATGTCACTCTGGAATGTAGTCAAATTACCTTTTCTTTACCAACTATCAGCTTCCAGATCCCCTCTCATTGTTATTATAGAGTGATTCTCAGTAGTGAGAGATACTTGAATGTGTTTCAGTCAGGGTGAGGAAATTTCAGTGGCACAATCATCCTTGGAATTAGCCCAAATCCTAGCATTATGTTTTCCAAGTTTAGGTGTCCTATGATACTCTTCCTTGCTTTCTCTTGGAGACAGAGTTGTATGCGGGCAGTCTGGATCACCATGGTAAAGTCATGGTTTTATGCAGTGTTGGGCACAGTACTCTTCTTTTTTTTTTGTACTGGAGATTGAACTCAGGTCCTTGAGCTTGCAAGGCAGGTGGTGGAACCACTGAGCTAAATCCCTAGCCCCTGGGTGCAATACTCTTAAGGGCAGAGGGTTCGTGGGAGTGCACCTTGTACCACCTGTGGGATTGGGAATTGCCCCTTCAAGGAAGAGCTTCTCCTCTATCCTTTTTTTTTTTTGCACCGGGGATTGTACTCTGGACCTTGAGCTTGTGAGGCAGGTGGTAGAACCACCGAGCTAAATCCCCGGCTCTCCTTTATCTTTTTTTAGTTAGAATATTCTGTGTTAGGATTTGTCCTCAGAGTGAGATTTGTAAATTTAGGATGAGAATGGAATAGTTGAAGCTATATTAGCCCTTAATGAAAGATGCTTTGCTATGGTGGTGGCCCCTGGGTGGTATAGCAGAGTTCATTCTCTAGCAATTCCTAATAAAGAGTGTCTGCGTGTGCCTCCTGTGCTGAGAAGTCTGGGGATCATGTTCATTCTTGTTCCATCTGGAGAGTCTTAACATCAAAGTGGGTGGGCTGTGGCCCCACTGTGTCTGCTGGGTAACAAAACTGCTGTTTGGTATTGCAGCCATATGAATAGCAAGGACTGGGCACGGCTACCAAAATTCATCTTTGTGTATCTTTCTAAAGTGTTATTTTAAGAAATTCTGACAGATTTTTTTATGAAGAAAAACTTGGAAAGTTTTGACAAATTGTCCAGTTTCAGAGAAAACTGTGAGAAGTTACACAAGAAGAAATAAACATACACACACACAAAAAAACAACAAAAAAAGAAGAAATACACAACTCAAATAAATCTATAACTTTTGAAGAAATGGAACCAGCAACAAAGAAATCTTTTCATAAGGGAAACCATAGGCTCAATAGTCATACTGATAAATTATACCAAATATTTTGGAAAGCAATTGTTCTATGTTCATGACATTCTTCTAGAGAAAAAAGGTACAGTGTATTCACAGACCCGTTTTGTGTAGACAGCACACGACACAGGCACCAAATCTGAGTGGAACATGTGAATAATTGAATTTGATAGATATCAAGTGCAGTGTCTTCAACAAAATATTGCCAGAGTGAGCCGAACCCTCTGCCAGCAGGAAAATGTGCCAGGAGGTAGACGGTGTCCACATGGGCAGCGTTGGCTTAACAGTAAAAACATCAGAAAACGTCATGTGCGAGTTTGATTGCATGAAAGTGGTATCGGGTGAACATCCCAATAAATGTAGAATATAAATTGAATAAAACAACACTGTAGCCAGGCGTGTTGGTGCACACCTGTAATCCCAGCACTCAGGAGGCTGAGGCAGGAGGATCGCTGTGAGTGCGAGACCAGCCTGGGCTACATAGTGAGTTCCAGGTCAGTCTCAACTACACAGTGAGACCCTGCCTCAAAAAAATAAAAACAACAACAATAAGAAAAAACTTAACACCGTAAAGCAGAACAGCTGTGTAATAATAGAATTCAGCACCAATTCAAGCCATGAAATTCGTAACAGCACCAGCAATTAGATTCTTCCTTGATTTGAATGCGCTGTAAAAAAAGCTGGCCCTCATTTCAGTCTGTGGTGAGGCCTGGAGAGATGCCTTGGGTGAGCCGAGGGAGGAGGGCTGTGAGCAGTCTGCACCACACACAGCACAGAAGGAGGACAAAGAATGGGAGGTGGGCGGGCTCATCAGTGCGGAACACCAGAGTGGGCTGTGAGACCTGCTGGGAGGGTTAGCAAGAGCCATGAGCAGATAGATATCCAGAAATGCTTCCCTGTGCATGTTCCGTCACTGAAGAGTGGGAACCCAAAGTTGGGCAGTGCAGGTTGGATCCCCTTTCCCTGAAATGCTGGGGAGCCAGAATGATTGAACTTGTATATTTTTCAGATTTTGCCTGTTACCATAGACATAAAGTAATATCTTGGAGATGAGGCATGAACCCAGTGTAGAGTTCATTTATGTTTCACATACATAGAGTAGTTTAAAATAATTTTGCCAAGAAACAAGATTCATGGTGTGGAATTTTCCACTCGCAGTATCAGGTGGATGCTTAGAGTTCCAGATTTTGGAACAGTTTGGATTTTAGATTTTTGGATCAGGGTGCTCAGTCTGTGTTTATATAAAAAACACTGTGTTCCTGATTCCAGTGTAAAATCTATATGTGTAAGAGCTCTGCACGAGGAAATTAAACACCTTTGAGAGCTATTAAGAGATGTTTAAATAAATGGGTATAAATACACAGAATAATGAAAGATTATCATTTAGCCTCAAAATCCAAACAGATATTCTACACAGAGTGTGTGGGTATTGGCAGTTGGCATGGATTCCAAAGCCATGTGTGACCCATGCCTTCAAAGAGGAAAATGTGAACATTTCTCCAGCATCAACAAGAATGATCACAAAGCTGTAGCATCGAAGAGCACTGGCCACCGAAGTAAAGAGAATGGAAGATTGAGCCCAGGACCGGGCCCCAGCATGGGTGCACCCCATGTCTGCCCAGCCGTGTGTCTTTCACTAGGGAGAAGACCGTCATGCCCTAACTGTTTTGGGACATTAACCACATAGAAACAGTAAGTTTTCTGGTAGTTCACAGCATGACAGGTTCCGCTTCAGGTGAGTAGGAGCTTCGGTGTCCCATGAAACCTCAGGACTCTGAGCTGATGGCACAGGGTGTTTAAAGACTTCCAGTGAGGAAGGATTTCTGACAGACAACAAGTGATCCGACTGCACCGAAGCAAGTGCCTTGCCCGACTCTGTTAGGATGAAAATGTGGTGCACAAGAAGACATCCATTGTAGTCTGCTTTATGTTGCTGTAGCACAGTAGTGGAAGCTAGAGAACTCACAGACCATATAGGACTATCGGGCTCACAATTATTTGGCTGAAAGGTCCAAACAGCATGAAGTGGCATCCTCGTGAGGTCCATCTGCTTCAGCACATGACGATGCAGAAAAGGACCCAGTCACACGCAGAGGGGACCTGGGAGGTGGCTTTCAAAGCAGCAGCCTTTGTGAACACTAGTCCACTCCTCAAGGCCAGCAGTGACCCAGTTTTGAGGCTGGGGCCTCGTGACCTAAGCTCTTCCCTTGGGCCACACCTCTTAGAGGTCCCCCATGCAGTACCTCCAAGAGGGCCTAGCCTTCAGCTTAGGAGCCTGGAGGGATGGCCACCCTAGAGCCTAGCAGCTTCACAGGGCAGGCATCCTGTGCCATGCCTGGTTGTGGAACTCCTGACCCACTCAGGAGAGGCTGGGCTGTGGAGGTAGCAGGTGCTCTTGAACAGCGACAACAGGGAGCAAGCACTGGTGGGACAAACAGGAGAGGTCTCCACCATCAGGACTTTGCACAGATGGCCCCAAGAGGTGCAGGCCCCGGCACAGTGCCTGGGTTTCAGGGAACCAGCCCTGCAGGAGTCATGCCATTCTTTCTCACCGAGGGGCAGGTGGACAGCGTCTTCTCCCCCAGTTTTCCCTAGGGGCCTGTGCTGGAGACCCTGACCCGCATGCCTGGTCAGCCCAGTGGAGCCAGGTTGGACTGTGTGGGTGGATTGTGCTGCTGGTGCTGGGAGCCACAGGGTGGGGGACTTCTCCATGGCCACAGCTGGAGCAGAGACCTGGGTTCTGTTCTGTAGCTGCCCTGCTTGGCCTTCCTGGTCCGTGACCTCTTGGCTTGACAGTACTTCTGACTCTGTGCTCCCAGAACCCAAGGCCGTGTTCGCCAAGGAGCAGGCAGCATGCAGTGAGGTGCAGGCTGAGGAGGGGACCAGCATCACTCTGAGCTGTGAGGTGGCCCAGGCAAAAACGGAGGTGACGTGGTACAAGGACGGGAAGAAGCTGGGTGCGAGCTCCAGGGTGCGCATGGAGGCTACGGGCTGCAAGCGGCAGCTGGTGGTGCAGCAGGCAGACGAGGCGGATGCCGGGGAGTACAGCTGCGAGGCTGGGGGCCAGAAGGTCTCCTTCCACCTGGAAGTTAAAGGTCAGTCCTTGTTGCCCATCTTACGTATGACAGGAGTCTGTCCAATGGCCCCCCTACTTCTTCCATTTGACTGTGTCACTGTCTCTGTAGGGTTAGGGCATAGGCACAGAGAGCATGAAGAAGGCTCCTCCCCTCTGTGAGCTGTTTCCTTGAGGCACTGATAGTCTTGCTTCCTCAGCACCTGATGGTAGCCACAGCTCCTTGGCTTTAGGCTCAGGCCTGCCCTGCACTTGGACTGGAGGTGATAGCTATCTCACCTGGCAATGGTGCATCACCTGAATTCCAGGTGTCTGGGACAGGCTCCCTCCTCCTCGTGGGGCAGGGGCTCCCTGTGCACTCTCACCTGTTTCCACCTCTGGATCCAGTTTTGTTGCATCATCTGTGGTACTGGAGGGCGGGGGCTGGTGGATGTGAGTGGTTAGGTGGCAAGGTCTGTAACCCTCTTTCCAAAGCAAGTTCTATTTCCACTTTGTCTTGGTTAGAAATTCTGTGTCTGTATTCCTTTGTGAGTGGATTCCAAATTCAGAAATGGAAAGGACACCTTATAAGCACACTTTGTGGAGCCGGAGCGTGGTAGTCCTGGCAGCTCAAAGTGACGGTGTGTCTGCCACACAGAGCTACCTACCCCCTCGATCCCTGTGCATCCGCTCTTCCTGGCACTTCAACACGTGCAAGTGAGTTTGAAAAGTTCGGCTTACTATCCATTCCTGGAAAATGGTAGCGGAACTCACACAAGAAGAAATAGAAAAGTTAAATGTCTTCTAATTGTTTTTAAAAATGGAGCCATAATAATAAACCATCTCCTCAAAGCATCATCTAATCCCAGTGGATCTACTAGAAAATTGTACCAAGTATTCTGGAAACCAGTTGCTCCATAGCTATAAAAGTTCCTCTGTTATCTCTGTAACTCATTTTGTGTCAGTAACATATTGTTATAGCTGTTTCAGTGAAAGGAATCATGCCACGAAAAATGTCCAAATTAAAGGAGTCTTTTATAGCTGGTGACCAAGGAAGAGCTCACGCTGCCATCTTCTTTGGTACTGATTAAGAAGAGAATCCCAGTTTTTTTTTGTTTTTGTTTTTTTTTTTTTTTCCTTTTTGGCACCAGGGATCGAACTCTGTTCCTTGCACTTGCGAGGCAGGCAGCAAAACCACTGAGCTAAATCCCTGGCCAGGGAATCCCAGTTTTTAAAAGGAAAAAAAACCACACAATAGAATGTCATAATCTCATCTTTGGGCAAGCACAGGGGTACAGAAGCAGATTTCATATTAGATCAAAATCCAATTTTTGGGATCTGTCAGAAAATTCCTATCCTTATGGTTAGGGCCACAGTATAACATGTTCTATCTGTTGTTCTTAACCACAAGGTAAGCTATGTGCTAGTTAATTAACCACTTTAAATAAGCAATCTTAGGGAGGAAAAGGGGTAAAATTCAGGCACGGGCTGTTGGGGGGAGTTTCTGGTTAACTAGCTGACTTCAATATCACTAGTATCAGCATCTGACGAGGACACTATGAAGAATAAAATTGTCCAATATCTTATTGACATGGAGTTCAACATTTTAAACCAAATGTTTGCAGAGAGCATTGAGCAATTTATCTGGAGGACACTACACTATGAGAAAAGCCAGAGTCCAGGAATGCAGGGCTGGTTTGATGTGGGAAGTGTTATACGACTGACCCAAATTTCAGTATTAGCAGATCGGAGGAGAGACAGTGTGGCAGACCCACTGTGAACAGAGTAGAAGCACGTGGTAGACCACAACATCCTGGACCCTGAAGAAGTATTTGATAATGTTTAACATCAGTTCACGCTACACAGTTCCTAGAAAAGTATAAATAAAAGGGCTCTTTCTTAATGTTGCAAAAGGTAGATTAGAAACTATTACCACATATGCAGTAGAACTGTTGGACTTCAGCGGGCCTGGGGAGGGAGCGAGCAAAGTGACAATCTTCCCCGCAATTAGGAAATAGAGCCTTCAGTGTGCACAGTCGTACCACGAGAGCTCACACCCCACCATTCCTGCCCTTTACAATGAAACTTCAGGTTAGCTTGTGCGGCTGTGCTGCCTGGCTACCAAGTCTGCACAGGCCACTTTTCGTTGTGCTTGGTGGCCTGGCCTTCAGCACTGCCCGAGGCTGCAGGCAGTGGCCCATGGATGACAGAAATGCAAACACAAATCACCTCTCGAGATTTACCCAAGGCACCCACATTAAACGAGGACCTGAAATAGATGAAAATCTTTTCCTTTCGTTTTTTTTTTTTTTTTTTTTTTTTTTTTTTTTTTTTTTTTTTTTGGTACTGGGGATTGAACTCAGATCCTTGCGCTTGCAAGGCAGGGCCACTGAACTGCTGAGCTAAATCCCTGGCCCTCCTTTCGTTTCCTTTGAAAGCAGCTTAGGATTAAATCCCCTGGGATAGTAGTACACTTCAAAAATGTCGTTCTTCTGAGGAGAACAAAGTGTATGTTTTGCAGCAAGTGAGATGCAGACTTTCCCAGGTGCTTCTGAGATGAAATGCCATGGCACGATCAACACAGAGACAGCACTGGTGATCACTTTTGTCCTGAGCCCCAGAGTGATGTCCCCTCTACCCATCCCACTCCCTGAGGCTGTACTTCTGCCTTAGGCTGCTTTTTCTTTGCATAGATTCTGCTTTTGTATTCACAGCACTTTTCTATGTCTTCACTGAATTCTTTCACCAAGAATTTAAGGCAAAGAACCAGCCTGCCAGCTCCCGACACAACCTTGAATGTTGCCTTTGAGATGGAGCAGAAGGTAGGGAAGCAAGTGTTTCAGCTGTGTTCTGTCCAGTAGGTCAGCACAGCTAGGAGGAAGTAGAAGGAAAGGTATAAAACATGACAATTCCACCTGGCACTCGTGGATGATACATTTATCTGGAAAATTAATTGTTAGACTTGTAAGAGAATTAGGGATGGCTCCCACATCAAGAAAGTAATATACAGAAAACACTTAGCTGGGCCTGGTGGAGCACATCTGCAATTCAGGCACTTGAGAGGCTGAGGCAGGAAAATCATTGCAAGTTTAAGGCCAGCCTGGGTGACATAGTGAATTCAAGACCAATGTGAACTACATAGACTTAACAATCCAAAACAAAACACTCTGCAAAAACAATAGAACAATAACAAAAAAGAAACTTAAATGATTGGAAACAGGTAGATGATGGGAAATTAACTTTTCAAAGATTTATGATGGTGAGAAAATTGTCATTTTATCAGTCACACTCTAATATATGTTTAGACGCATTGCTGGTGAAAACTGTTAAACATTGCTGAGAGACAGCCAAAATAGATTAAAAATACCTGGATAGAAATCTGTAGGAGAGCTGAAAATATTCAGTACCAGCTGAATTGGAAGTGACACCTCTCTCCATACTTGAGTCTTGAGAAACCACACATAAAGACAACCTGAGGATGTTGGCTTTGCCAGCTGGCCTGACTTTCTCTCCTTCTCTTCATTAAGTTCAGTGGTACGTTTTAGGTATACACTGTGATCACATTCATCAGGGGGATGTTATATCTTGGTTCTTAACTTTTCCCATTTTCTTTCCCTCCCTTCAAGCCCTCCACCCCTCCCTATACACATAAGCTTTGTTTCCATTTTTTCCTTTTTTCTCTTTTGCTTCTTTCCTTTCCCTTGTCCCCTTTCCTAGTTCCCCTTCCTCTTTGAACATTATCTTCCTATTTCGCACTATTATACATTTGGGTCCTCATTTACACTTTCAGTTTCTCACACTAGGGAAACAATTCAGTCTATATACATATATGACTTATTTATTTCACTTAAGAGTGTGGCCTCAAGGTCCATCCATTTAGCTATAAATGTCTCAAGTTTATCTTCTTTATGGCTGAGTAGTACTCTATTTTATGAAAAACCCAAAACTTCTTTATCTAATCCTCAGTTGATGGGCATTTGGGCTGTTTCCAGGATTTAGCTATTACAAACTGTGCTGCTATAAACACGGGTGTGCATGTATTGCTATGGTGTGATGCTTTTGGTTCTTTTAGGACCATAGCCAGAAGGGGAATAACTGGGTCAATGGGACCTCTAATCCTAGTTTTCTGAGGACTCTCCACACTGATATCCACAGTGGTTGCACCAGTCTACACTCCCACCAACAGTGGAAAAGTGCTTCTTTTTCCCCACAGCCCTTCCAGCATTTGTTATTGGTTGATTTTTTGGTAGCAGCCATTTTTTCTGGAGTGACATGGAGTCTCAGTGTTGTTTTCATCTGCATCTCTCAAATGACCAGTGATGTTGAACATTTGTTCATATGTTTATTTAGCGGGGCTTTCTTTTCTTTTTTTTTTTCTTCTTCTTCTTCTTCCTCCTCCTCCTCCTCCTCCTCCTCCTCTTCTTCTTCTTCTTCTTCTTCTTCTTCTTCTTCTTCTTCTTCTTCTTCTTCTTCTTCTTCTTCTTCTTCTTCTTCTTCTTCTTCTTCTTCTTCCCTCCTCCTCCCCTCC